TATTCACACTTTATACTGTCACTTATGGCCTAAAGATATCAGCATTCTAAGGTGTTCGAAAACTCTGTAGATGAAACTCTATACATTTTACTACACACTACTGCATCTCTCGACAACGGCAGTTTTAAACTTAGAAAATACTCTTCAAGTCTTTCATCTGTACGTGATGATATGCCTGATACAGATAGAGAACCGCTACTTAATTTAAATAGTGGTTTTAAATCGTTTTTGCCCTCGGTTTGAAAGGACTTGTTAATGAATAACCATAATATAAAATAAACCACTTTTATTTTATAAATTTTTGTTAAGCTTTATGCCCAAAACAAGGTACAAAGTACAGTATAAAGCATTTCCCACTTGCGGTATTTGTACGTTTCGTCGGTCCTGTCATATCACAGGCAATAATATTCTTACAACACTTGTGATAACGCACCCCGGATTAGGACGAAATATTCCAAATGAATTACACACTACATGGATTAGTTATAGCATTTACGTAATTCAAAAATTAAAAGTTCTTCTTTTGCTTCTTTGCTTCGTGAATTACATTCATCACATGCCTTTTGTGATGCCAATTTAGATGTATTTGGTGTTTGGTATGTAGAACACCTCGGTTCAAAACCTCCAGTATTACCGCTGTGATGCAACCCTATGAGTGCAAATGATTAATCAAATCTATCTAGCTAAATATCTTCACTGCTGAATTTCATTGGTGGACTAATTCCTCTATTGAACTGCCTTGAACTCGAGCTAAGTCTTCTACTTTTAACGGATTTGTAGCTACTCGAATAAACAGAACTCAATACTTGACTGAAGGCTTGACGTGACTTTATCCTGCATATATTTTATCAAAGGGAGTCACTCTAGATGAACTTTTAATATCGTCGTTTTGGTAATATGAACCCTAATTTTTACTTGAAAGACGAAATAATTTGCCTATAACCCATTCTCTTCATCATAATTTGCGAAAAGACGTAAAACTATTCCGACTTTAATTTTAAAAATAACTGAATATTCGATTAATTAGAAATTTATCAATCATAAATCACTTTCATTATTTGTTTCCATGCGATTTCAGTACTGGCCAGAGGCAAAAAGATAAACCTTTCGAACACACTGAAGTAATGAGTATTTTATATTATTACAAGAACTATTAAAACAGGAAAGTTCTACTTCTAATATTGTAACGACAAGTCTGCGTCATTTAGTGTTTGCTGAGGTATCACTCAGTCGTAGTCCGGGTTGTTGCAATAAATTTCTTTTATTGACCTGTTCGATACATTAGTAAACGAACAAAACACCGTTCAATTTTCTTTTAGTACAACTTTATTAAATCAAATGAACTTACACTAATTATAGCCTATTGGTTATGCTACAGCAAATCTTAATTACAATCGTCTAGCCTATTATAAAAAATATGCTAGTTACAAGAGACATCAAAATGTGGAAGGCGTTATACATTATAAGAAATCATATTTACAAATGTTCTAGCCGATGACATCAAAATGTCAGTTATAAAAACAAAGATGCTAACTAATTATAAGAAAATTCTCTGTTAGCATCGACTTAGCACTTGTAGGGAGTATACTTGGTTCGGTGTGATGGCACTAAGTGATCTTTCATTTTTTTTTTGCAGTAGTTGGAAAACATCAAAAGCCACATTGTGAGACTTAAACCCACTAAAACCACCTCTTAGAAATGAATGGAGAAGATCCACACAGCAATGTGAAAACTTCATTCCAGTAATCAGGAGAGAGAGAAAGTAGATAGACTTAATACCTAGTAAACTAGGTTCATCTAAGCCAGAAAGCAAGGGCATGAATTAGGAAGAGAGGGCAATAATAAAGGGGGTGGGGTTACGGCTAAATGGCTGGGGTGGGGTCAATAATAAACTTTGTAACTAGGGTCACGAAAGCCGCGGTTATTAAGGGGAATAGAGAGAGGATTGTGGTCCAACTCGTCGAAATAATGGGGTAGGTACTGAGGAGGTTTGAAGCGAAAGGCTTGAACAAGGTCTCCAGGGAGGGTATTGGGACTACAGACGTCAAGCAGGAGGGAGTCGGGTGAGGTATCTACAGGTGAGTGTCAAAATTCAAAACCACAAAATTGTCGTCTATTTATATGAAATCAACCTCACTTCATTAGTTGTCGCACAACCGCACAAGTGTAATTCTTCATGCCTACACAATTAATGCATTTCTTGCCTAGCGGCTTGCATTTCGTTGCGAAGTAACAGCTCTGTCGTGAGCTTGGCTTGTCTTGTGCCGGCTGTGTGTGTGGGTGTTCACTGCTACGTTGAAACTTATTTGCTAATTTTAGCAATGAAAGGTGCGTAAAATAATTTAACGCATTTGAGTTTTTGCGAACTTGAATATAAACAAATTTTATGCAAACAGAATTAGAAATTAATGCATTGTGATAATTTATTATAATTCAGACAAAAAATATTTTAATTATTATTATATATCAATTATAATTAATATAAATATTATTACATCCATTTTTTTTATATAAAATTATATTGCTTTAATTAATACTAATAAGGAAAATACAATTTACTTTATAATATTAAACCTCGGTTTATTTTATTTTTGTTTAATATTGCGGATTTTAAATAAATTCAAAAAGGCCTGATGTTCCAACAACAATAATTGGTCTATTTATCTGAAAACAAAGCTTTCAAAGTGGAAGTTACTGATTCGGCGGAGCTATTACAATAAATATGGATGCACTAATTATATATAGAAAATTGGTGCGCATATCTTAACTCTATAAACTCAATATTATAGATTGGATATTAATAATGCGCGATTTCGCAGCCGTAATACAAAGTTGATTTGACGTTCGAGTTAAATATACTCGCTTAGTGCGAGTGCCTATTTGATCAGACTTCCCCACATTATTTAACACACTATTCCACATATATTTAACCTCTTTTTGGCCGAACATCGAGGAGCGAGGTCCTCCATTTGTTTTTTATGGTGATATGATCGATTTGATTTTCAGTTGTACCGTCCGTGTGCTGTTCTACACTTTTATTATCATATCCCACCTTCGCATTCATATCCCCAAGTAATATGAAAATATCGCATCTGTTGACATGCGTCTTGATGCAAATATTTAGCTGTTTATAAAACTCTTTTTCGTTATCATCGCTCGACGCATCACATGTCGCAGTTGTTCTAATTTACCGCATTCATAGTATTCTCATGTTGTAGGTGGCTGCACGTGTCTTTAGCTTTATTCGAATAAAGTCATTTCTATTGCTATGATTGTTGTCAGATTTGACGTTTCGGTTTCTACGGCGGAGTTAAGAGCGTTTGATTGCCAAGAGAAAATGTTTGCTTTACAATTTTAGTTTTACAAATTTTTGTTCCACACATGTTTTGACAGTTTTCACCATATATCGAATGAATTTTCAACTACGAATGATGTAAACATTTTGCTTATCGCATCAGTCACATTAAATTTTTACAATTATGGTATGATAAATAAAAGAGATAGAGTTTTTACAATATCACACAAAGTGCCACAATTATTCAAAATTTAACACAAAATCTGCCTGTTTATAATGCGGTTCAAAGTATTTGTTTTTCTATAAAAAGTGATTTAATTTCGAAACTAAGAGCCACGTTCATTCCGTTGATATTTACTCTATGGTTAATGGTTTTGCTTGCTATAGTTGTGGTCAAGTCACGAATGGTCAGCGTTGCGGAATTTAAATACTATTTTATTAAATGTTAGGTTAAGTTAATCGTGCTACTTTTTATTTTGATTCTTAAAAATGTACTTAAGTACACCCCGCCCCATTGTAGCGGCTAGGTTTTTTGTCTCCAAACTAGTTGCAAGTTAGACCTACTCGTCTTTTGTCCCATATGACATTTCTTTATCGTAGTCTGCTATCAGCATGTCCAGTGAATTAGTATTTGCAATTCCTTTCATCATTCCTGCTATATACAATAAATCTCCAGGGGTCAAAACAAGCTGGAAAAGAGATAAGTAATAAGCTTCCAAAAATTAGCACTTTAATTCTTCCGTATTATTTTTTATTATGTGTATTTTACATTGCTTAATAAGTCGTTTTACAAAATATTTGTTGTATTTTACTGCTAAAAGGTAAAATTGAAGAAATATAACTCTACAATCCATATGATTTGGTAAAGTGATCTGCCAAATGTCAAGCCGTCGCTGTCATTTCATTGTGGCATTTGCGACATATGCAAATACAGGCATGTATTTACTTGCATCGTACTATCTCTAGTAAAAAATTATCAAAGAGCATATATGTATATATATCAACTAGTGACCATAAATACTGAAGTAATATTAAGAAATAGAAGTTACAAGACATCTAATCGTATATGATCCTGCTTTCCGAAAAATATATTTAGTTGTGTTAATCGAATGAAACTTAAATAATTTTCTATAATTTCAACCTTTTGAAACACTATATACATTATTTATGTAAATAGTTCCAGATCTAATCTTTAATATTAACTATAATCAACACTCATTTGGGATTAAATATGCTGATTGCGGGTATAAGTGCTTATAGTAATGTTGACTCTTAATATGAGTTTCTTAATATTTATTAAGAGTTTATAAATTATTACTAACAATTACTATGCTCTGTTCAAATTCTAAAATTTTCAAAATCAAAATGTATATGCATGAAAATTTGATTGTCAATTTCTAGTTTTCAACGTAAACTTCTCTTTTTGAATAATGCCACATGAACGCCACATGCTTTTAAAGCCAAAACATAAAAAACTTATACTGAGCTGTGGTGCGGACCGGACTCCATTAGTCGCCAAAAATAGTTTTTAAAATTATCTGGACGCTGTCACACAAATTGGGTTAGAAACCATAATAAGACATTAAGTAATTTATAATTCGTTTTCGAACGGCTTCTAATGCATATGTAGAAAACTGTTTATTTTAAATAAATAAGAATTATCATTACAAAATTAATAAATTAAGTTTTTAAAATAAAATTATCTAAATTGTACTCATATAACATTTTATAGCATTTAGTCTTGACAAAATAATTCGCAAGTTCTTTGTTTCAATATCAAAAAAATGTTTATATGTCTGCCTTAAATACAATTAATCATATTAAATATGAACATAGAAGAGTTTTAGAATTAGGAATTTAAAAGGAGAGTTAAATAAAAAACTTTTCGCGTTTACCTGAAATTGAACTCATGAAAATTTTGTTGGAATGAGAAAGAGACAGCAAAGTTTTAAGACTCAGACTTAAAATATTTGATAAATTTAAAAATGCACTAATATCTTGGATTATAAATCGCTACGAGGAGTTTCCTTTTTACTGGGAGTTGATTCTGTGACATTTTCCTTGTCAGCATGTTTGGTGCTATCTGTACCCTGTTCGCCCTCATTGTTACTAGGGTTATGAGTGGTTTGTTTACCAGAACCACTTTCTGTCGTTTCTTTGTGTGTGTCAGAAGTTTCATCTTCGCTTTCATCATCAGTATTCTTGTCTGATTTTTGTGGCTGTTGTTTTGGTTTCCATATTTTTAATTTATTAACTAAATACTTAACTTCTCGATCAAGAAGAGACATTTTATCTGTTATATCTTTAACGGTCAGCCGTATCTCTTCATGACGTTGTAGACTTTCTTGAATTTGTGTTTCGGTTTTTTTCCATTTAGTTGTTTCATCAATAACGTTAGTCAATGTATCTATTTCAACTTGAGTAAAAATATCTTTTTCGGGATTTGTTTCTTTGGTTAAATTTTTTGCACTAGTTAAGAATTTACTGGCAGCATCAATCATGCCCTCTAAAGCCTTAAGTGCTTCTGGCCGTTCTTCATGCTCCCAATGTCGTGAAAGAAAAATGTTGGTTAATTTTTTTAGCTCTATGAGTCGCTCCTCATAAGAAGAGGGTTTACGATTGTCATCCTCGTAAAGCCAATCAGAAATTGCAATACATTCACTTAATATTTTTTCCTTTTCGTCTTCTGAAATGCAGCTAGAAAATTCTGCTTCACTTAATTTTTGTTGAGTTTCGATAACATGTGATTCCAATTCATTGAATACTGAAGCCAGACGATTACGTTCCCTTTCAATTTCGTTAATTGCATTTAATTTCTCGGTTGAAGTTTTTAAAGCAGTACCGGCCAGTGGAATGGTAAATAAAACATTTATATTATGCTCAACAGGTTCCTTGACTACGATAATTTTTACAGTATCGTTTTTAAAATCAGAATTATTAGTTTCCTCTTTTTGGCTTTCTTCTGTTTTATTGGCTTTATCATTCGGCTTATAGTCTTTTTGCATAGGTTCTTCATTGTCGGGTTTCTGATCCATTGGCTCGTCATTTTCCTTATTTTCTTCAAGTGTGTCCATATCTTTTTTCTTCGAACCATCTTTTGAAAATAATTTGCTTATTGTACTACCGAGCTTGGCTAATGTACCCTCTTCCTCATTTTCAATCTTATGTTTCTCATACACAAACTCGACACCAGTACATCGAAAAACGCCAGAATCATCCAGTAAAAAGTATGCCTTGATGCCTTTCGTTTCGACAACATCTTTCTGATTTTTCTCTATAATTTGTTTTATTTTTAATAATTCTACTTTTGATATGTTCAGACTTCCAATGTTTGCAATCTCCTCTTTTGAAAAGTGTGACAAATCGCCATAGCTCGCGTAAAAGTCAAAATCATCTGTATGCTTGTTGAATGTGATTACTTTTTTCTGGGGGTAGGAGTTCATATTACCGAAGAGCACACGCTTCACTTGCTTAACTTCAGTACCGTCGCCAGGATCCCGTTGGAAGGTTATATGAATCGGAAAAACTACTGCATCTTTAATTATAAACTTTTTAACTTTAAAACCAGTAGCTATATCAGCAGCTTTATAAACTGCACCCATTGTTGCAGCTTCATCAGCGTTTAGACTTTTACCTAATTCTTGTTTGATATAATTCTTTATAATATCTTGTACTTTTGGAACACGAGTACCACCTCCAAATATAATGACTTGCGACACTACATCCATGGATAAACCAGATACTGTTAGAGCTGATTGAATAGGATTAGTTACACGAGGCCATAAACTTAAGCACAGTTCTTCAAGTTTTTCCCTAGTTACCTGCAATTTGAAATCGTGATCTTCTAGTAAACCTTCGATCTGAGCATAATGATCGAGATTTGCAGAAAGAACATTTTTTAAACGTCCCGCTTCCTTAAAGAGCTTAGCAAGAGCACGAGGATTTTTTGTGACGTCGGTTTTTGTCTTTTTCATTGCATTAAATTCGGAAGCCAAATAATCGCGTAATCGCATCTGTATCTCTAGGCCGCCTAAATTGCGATCATAACCTACACCAAGCACCTGTATTAGCGGATTGATTTCTTTTGTTTGCTTGTCTTTGATAAGTGAATAACTAACTAAAGCAGCTGATGTTTTGTAAGCACCCATATCATAAAATATATAATACTGCGCTGTTTCATTAATTTCAGCTCGATGGAAAACACCATAGTTAAGTGCTACAGCCGTATAATCATTTAGTAGTTGCAACACCTTTAGATTAGCAAGATGTGCTGCAGAAAGGAGAGCTTCGCGTTCAGCTTGACCAAAATAACCTGGAACTATAAGAACACATTCAGTTACAATTTGACGAGTAGATTCTTCTGCAAACTCTTTTGCTTTTTGCAGCATTTGAGCAACCAACTCTTCCACTGAAAATTGTTCATTATTGTTTTTTGTAAATATTACAGTTTGCCGTTGTGGATCAGCAGTAATGTTATAGTATGGAAAACGTTTCCTAAAAATAAATGAATAATTATTATTCAAGATTGAACTGATGTGAGAGTTATTACAATAAATATATAAGAACAATTAATTAGCTAATTTAAAATAAAGCATTAAACGCTGCACTGCCCCATTAATATTAAATTTAGATTTTAGAATATTAAAGTAGGTCAGAATAGTTTCTAATGTAAATTTGTTTGGTGTTTGATGACATTAACTATGAAAACGGCTACGACCTGAATAGAAAATGTGGTTCAATGGCACTCACTTATAAAGATCGACAATTGGATTGTCCACAGTTTTTCCTAATAAATCCAGTAGGTATCCATATACTGCAGCTGGTTCTCGTAATCCGACAGTTACAGCATCTTCACCAAAATTTCGAACACCATCGCGAAAAGACAATATGGTTGGAGTTTTTCGTTTTGATTCCTTATTTAAAGCAATTTCCATGGGTACGCCAGGTGACACAACTCCTACTTTCATCCATTCGGTACCAAGATCCACTGACATAACAGCAGCGCTATTAACACCATGGGGGACCAAATTTATGAAAGATATTGCAAATACAAAAAGTATTGTTACAAACGGCACCGGAGAATGCCGACCAAATCGTTCTACAATTATCATATCTGCACCTCTTTGCTAACGTAAATATAAACTGTAATTATAATAGTTTTATTACAAAGTTTCAAATTCATCATATGTAGGTTAATTTATAGGTTAAACAAAACTTTCACGTACATTTACTTAAATTACAAAATATTTCCGTAAGGTATAAAGTTCGCACAAGGTCCGCGCGGCTTTACAATAAGTAAACCGGCTTTCGAATATTTCCAACTCGATCTGACGTGCTCACAGGTTTGCTGGGCAATTCCACCTACCGCACATATACAGCCAATGTAAACCAACTGACTGACGTGTTATTATTTTTTTTGCAAAAGGGCTACCAGTGCACCTTACTATATTGACCAAAGAACACATTTCAAGAATGGAAATAGTTGACATGTTTTGCGAAACGTTTGCGTAATGCAACAATAATTCGTCAAAACATCTAAACTGAATAAAATTTGTGCATAAATAAGTAATATTGAGATACTTCCTTGTGACGTTTCACGTTATAGTCTGTTTCATATTAACAAGAAAATCAAAATTAATATAAAACAAGTCCGCTATAAGACCTGTAGTACTTTATGCTATGTTAACATTGTAACTAATACTTTGTTTTGATAGCAAAACCAGTTGTAACGTAAAAGATTTGTAAGAAAATTAAGCACCTGAAGTTAAAATTATATAGTAATTTCTTCAAAATCAAGTTTATTTCAACTTGAACGGTTCATCGTAGTACAGTGTTGTAGAATACAAACTGATGTTATTGTGAGTAATTTTGAGGAATGAATGAAATTTTCATACTAAATGAAACAAAATTGCTATTTAACATATATATACACCAGAGAACTGAAATGATTACTAAACACTCGAATTAAACTCGAATCATTGATTGTGTTTCATTTATACGTATTCTGACCAGAACGGCAACTTAAATGTAAACAAAAATGCCAACCAATATACTCTCAAAATAATTTACTACACCAAATCAAGCATGTTGTTTTGTTGTTGTAAGTCGACCCACCACGAGTGAAAAGTTTCACAACGCCGAACGGACCGTTTCACCACCACGAACAGTCTTCAATTTGTTATACTACGAGAGAACGATATGAAGAGCGCAATTGGGTTTTGTTTTGGTTTTTCGACAGCAGAAATGCGCGCCAAAAACTGAGAAAAGTAGTCAAATCAAACGTAGTTATTAAAGGTAGTGAATAAGTTCCTTTTAAAAAATAATTACTTTTATTAATTACAATTATTATTTCAGTTAATAATATTTGAAGATGGTGCAGAATTGCGTAATGGGATGTAAGATATTTCAGGGAATGTATGAATTTCCTAAAAATGACGAAAGAAGGTACAAAATCAATAATTGTGGATTTAAAATATATGTTTTATGTTTAATGTGATTTGTTTGCTATTATGTGTATAAATACAAATTAGTAAAGCAAAAATATATGTAAGTATATAAATATATTTTAATAAAGTTTTCTTATGTGTTAATTTGTGTTTGTCAAATATGTGAACAATCTAATAAGAAATAAAAAAAATCAAAAATTGTATACTATTTTTTGGAAGTAAAAAGAGTGGAGCATGTAAACTATATTTTTATGTTAAAATATTCATATTCAAATGTGTTAATAGTTTAAACACCTTTAATATTAATTAATTTAATTAAACAATTTTATTTTTAAGTAAAATTTTATTTATAACGTTTATTTAATAAAATAACTTTTAACATATTTCACAATTAACAAATTGTACTATTTCATTTCTTCATATTAAAAACACCGATCTGAATTAAATCTTATATATCTCGGAACTGCTAAAACTAGAAAATATAAATTTTTAGAAGTGTCTTCGATTATCCAATTAGATAAATTGAACTTGCTTATTTTGCGTTATCAATATTTTGAATTTTGTTGTTCTATGTTTTATTTTTAACATTAATTGAAATGCCTTAATATACGAGTAATATTTTTTTAAAAAATTATTCTTTTTCTGGAATAAGAATTGCATATCATAAAAAACATATTTATTTATTATAAAAAATGTTAATATGATATTTTCTAGAAGTTTCTTTCGTTTAACGGCTTTAGTGCATTTTTGACTCGGTAATCTAAAACAATTATTTTCCGGGTATATCGCAAGTACATTTTCTGAAAAAGTGAGGCATGGCAATAGAGTTTAAAATACATGTATGTATGTATGTGTGTAAAGGTCAAAGAATAATTTTACTGTTTACCAGCTACGTGTACTAAATAGTAAATATTTTGCATGGAGCATATTTTTAGCTAACCCTGATTGTGTGTCATTATGCTTTGTTTTTTTGTTACTTTTTTCACTGATTTAAATTTTACTTTATTATTATTTAAGCGTTCAGGAAGAAAATGAAGGTGGTGTAGTTAATAAATCTATAAATCCCAACAATAAGTTTAACATCAGTTAGGCCATTATTGAATAGTAATGATATATCTGTTTCTGAAAGAACCCCTAGAAAAAGAAAATTAAGAGAAGATTTTACAGCTGTAGTTAAAAAATTAAAAACTGTAGATAAAATTGTTGAGGAAAAAGATATTATAATCCAATTAAAAGATGAGCAAATTCGTTTAGGTAATGAAAGATTAGCAAAGCTATAACTAGAAAATATAGAATTGCAAAAAAAACTTTCTGAATGTAGGGCATTAAGTAGTGTAGCAGAAAGGTCTGAAGTTGATTTTTAAGTTTAAAAAACTGCAGTCGTCGGCCAAACGGATCCAGATATAATACGCAATTGAAAACCATCGCCTTAGGAGTTTATTTTCTTTCACCATTAACTTATCGACATTTACGTCAGAGTTTTAATTGGCCATGTGAACGAACATTACGAAATTTTGTTCAATGCTGGCCAAAATCTCTTGGCTGTACTCATAGCAGCATTAAGGCTTTGGAGTTGCGAATTCGCGGATTTGCATATGAACAGCGATTTGTTTCGACATCCTGCGATGAAATGTTTTTACGCGCTCACCTCCATTATGATAGGCACAATGATAAAATTATTGGCCTTGAAGATTTTGGTGACGAAGACCGTAGTTGCAAGATCGCAAGTGTTGTCTTGACTTTCATGGTTCAGGGTATCGGTGGACAAAAATGATCCCAACCTTTTGCATATTTTCTTGTAAATGAAAGTTGTAAGCATGAAACTTTAAAATCTATTGTTATTGAAGTGATAAAGTAACTTCAAGGCATTAACTTGTATCGCTGACATTATGTTTGTGATTAGGGTAAAAATAATATTAGGTTAGCTAATTTGCTAGGTATAGATGAGCATCGTCCCTTTTTTAAAGCCGACGATGAAGATATTTTCTTCTTTTATGATGCTCCTCATTTGATAAAGAGTACAAGAAATTGTTTAATGAGTAATAAAAATAAAATTATTTTTAATAATAAAAAAGTTAAATAGGAAGATATTGTCCATTTGTTTGAAGTAGATTCCAAATCAAATGTTAGATGTGCGTCTCGTTTAACAATAGAGCACATTGAGTCGCAAGCACTGCTGAATTTTGTCTTTTTTTAATAATCTCTTTGATATTTTTAATTCAAGCAGTATGTATAGCTTAGTTTCGAAAAAAGGCTTTAGTGGTTCCATTGACCAAATGGTCTTTTTAAAAAAAGCTGAACTTGCTTTAAGAACAATAATTATCAAAGATGCCCAAGATAAAAATATTATTAATAATTTTTCCTTTATTAAAGGATGGCTTCTTAATATTAACAGCATTCGTTGTATGTGGCAATATTTATCTTCGAAATGTTTTAAAGTCATAATGACTAGAAAACTTTGCCAAGATGTGCTTGAGCACTTTTTTGGGCAAATAAGAAGAGGAGGGGGGAATGCTAAATCTAAGACCTATATAAGGCCTATTCATAACTCTATTTCAAAGGGGTTGGGGTCTTAGCTATTTGAATGTGGTCAATAAAGGCAATTGCGAGGAACTTCTTGATTTTGATTGTCCATCATTTGTAGGTTCTATTAGTGTTCTTAGTTTAAATAGTTGTAATGAAATTGTTTGCAATGATACGTTAGTGAAAGATACTTCTTGGCAGTATACCGAATCATTTTATTCACCACAAACATCATTGCTGAAAAATATTAGTTTTAGTGTTGATATTGATTTAAATGAGGAAGCTTTTCTTAAGCTAAATGCTTTTACCTACGTTTGTGGTGGGATGTACTTAAAAATATTCAAGTCACATCATTGTCTTGCTTCACTACCTTACGCAAATAATGTTTCAAGTTATTACCTCTTCACACTTGAAAAAGAATTTGATAGTTGCAGCTTGGAACATCCTCCTAGCGACTTTATTTGTTATATTAAGAGATTAGATGCAGAATTTTGTACTTATTTTGAAAAAAAATTACTCTAAAGTAGGTATAGCTCAATTTTTATATAAAAAGTTGGCTAACATACGCCCATATACTTGCTGCCAAAATTGCAAACCAGACAGTTTATTTATTCTTTTCATAAGAATGCGAATTCATTTTACTTTAAAATATTTTAATAGGGATCTTAGTACCCCTGATTTCAGGCAGAAATTTCTAAGGGTAAGCCATATGTAAATTCTGACACGCATTTTCTTTGTACTCTTTTCAAATGTACAAAGTCAGATATAGAAATTTTTTTGAATAGGTATAAATATATAAGAAAATATATCTATAAATGCGATAGCCTTTCGGTTTAATTAACTACATACACTTTCACCTGTCTTTTGTAAATAAAAATTTGATTAATTTCATGTTATTATTATAAAAATATTTCTCAAAATTAAGTACTACATCATATTTTTATTTTTTTATTAAGTAAAATGCTATATTGTTTTTAAATTTTTTTTGTATGTAAATATGCTATATAATATTTATAATTAGCCTGTACAATTATATAGTCCCAGATTTTATTAATATATTCAACATATTTTTAGTTTATTATTCAAAAAAGACTTATATTATGTTATATAAATATTATTCATTATGTACGCAAATAAAATATATTGTTTTAAACAAATGCCTTTAATAAATACATATGTTAAAAAGTTAAGCAAATGTTTTATTTTAAACAAATTGGCATTAATGATGATGAATTATAAAACTATAACAAGATACAATTTAAGAGTCAATATTATTTTACGCAAGTGATTTAAATTACGAATAATTTTTATAATACTTACTTACTTAGTTGGCTATTACAGACGTGTGTCGTCCTTGGCCGCGTCGAGTAGCCTCCGCCAGTCAGCCCGATTAGTTGCTTTCTGACGCCAGTTGGTAGTACCGAGCGCCCCCAAATCG